TATGAGACAGTAAGCTCCAGCAGCCATTTTTGAAATTCTAACTAAGAGTAGAAATTCATTTTTTAATCGAAGTCTTCCTTGGCGTCGCCGTCGTGGTTTCTTAAGGTCCCTATTATCTCCACATCAAACGTCTTTCCAACTCTAGCAGTCTGTAAGAACAACTGACTGGCCACCGTGATCACGGTATATGTACTTTGCCACAATGTGACGGCGTTGGTCACGTCCTGAACTTGTGTTATACCTTTTTTTTCCTCTGTAGGTATTGGCTGAAGCCATCTGTCCATTGGCTGAGCTGACTTGCATCTGAGCTTCGTCAATTTGCGGTTCACATCAGGGGATTTGATTCCTGTAGCCGACGATGGCCGCTGAGGCATGCTGGGAGACGTATTGCTACTCCCAGCTGGGGTCTTTAACAGCTGTCTAACAGAAAGACATAGATGGTAGTATCACTACATTTGGCAGAAATCGTCTTCTAGACCTACTCTGACTTTTTCTTGAGCTCTGTTGTCTAGCGATTAAACCACTCTTAGAATTTCGGCGAAATGACCTAACGTTGTTATTGTTGTGTGATGCCGTTAGAAGGGTATTTTGGTACGTTTCCCATAGAGAATGTAACACAGCTCAGTAAATTCACTTACTTCACATGCAACGATTCTTGGAGGTTTTCCTTTTCTTTGATGAAAATTGCGAGATGCTTTTGAACGAAAGGCAGGTTAAGGATTGCTCCAGCACTGGAAAAAAAAAAAAAAAGAAAGAAAAATGTGATAATATAGGAAAAAATAACTAAATAAAACGAAAATTAAGGCATGGCTTCACTTGAGTGTATGTTCGAATACAAAGCTAACATCAAATGATACAAGTCATCAAATAAAAAGTCTGCTCTAGAAACGTACGGGCACCAATGTTTTTTTTTCTTTAGGAAGTATTGGGGCAGTAACTGATTGACAAAGTATTTGACTGTAAAGTAACCTATGTAGTACTAGAAAAAATACACAGAGAACATTATGGAGAATATACATACTGACGTTTGTGTATAAAGTGTATTAGAGCGATCAGCGACAACGGCGAAAAAACGAACAGCGGGACAGAAATTTCTCGCAGCTCAAACACTAGTTTCAAGGGCTCCGCCGCCGGACGATTCAAGGCGCACACAAAACCGCCAGCTACGCACGCTATCCTTGGTTTTCTTGATTTTAAATTGAATCTGCTGAACCATGAACATAAGGGGCAAACTGCAAGCACGTTGCGAGGGAAGATCACGCGATTAGCGTTGAAGCACTTAACTTCCTTAGGCAAAGTCAAGTGAACTCTCACTTACGATGGTCTGTCATCCGGGGACTTGGCCAAAAGTTGTTTGATGAGTGCTTCTAAGGAAGACGAATATTGTGATGGGACGTCCTAGAGAGAAATTAAAACTGGTCATTGAACTGAGCTGATTGCGATTTGGTCTAAAAACATGCGTGATATCAAAATATTTCATCGATTCAAAATGGCTAGTTTGTTAAACTTTCTACTCTCCTCTTCTTCCTTTTTGTCTTTCATTTTTTTGAAACCCAATTGCTACATTCACAGGCCTTGAAATCTAATTGTTTTTTTTTCGTTGTTATTGTTCTCTAAGTATTTCATTCTCTGCCGTTGAGAAATAGATTCTTGAGAGAAGTTAATTAATCGCAATGCTGAGAAAAGATTTCAACGACCACCAGTGACTTCAAAATGAAGAAAGGAAAACAAAAGCTGCGACACAAATGGGAAGCCCGTGCGTTTCGAGCCGGCCAGCTATATTAGCGCGCGAGAGGTTCCCAAGTATTCTTTGGTACCAGACCTCTTACGGACCTTTTGCATGCTTGCTGGTTCGCGCTGCTAGTGCCGCAGCATTCGCAAGCAATTAATCGGCACGGTCTAACATAAATCTTAACAAAAAAGGTATAAAGAAAGTAAACAAATTTCGACACTTACCCCGTGATCCACTTTGACAATCTTGTAGAACAAGCTGACAAAGTTTGTTGCGTCAAATGCATAACGCAACGCACACATCTCAAACAGAAGACAACCAAGGGCCTACGAAAGCGAAACAGTTTACACTCATCATTTCCTCGGTGACGCCCCAAAACTAGTCGTCTGTGAAACGATGTATATTTTTGCAAAGTTGGACAACAAGCGCTTGCAAATGTTCTTACGACATTGTTAGATTTGGAGAATTTTCAATTTAGTGTAGAAAAACTTATCAAAGATTAATTTGTTTTGCTTTATTTCAATCTGCGATTGGTCTGGGAAACTAGCGCCAAGTTCCGAACAAATCAGATGCAAAACGAAACCAATCGTGACTTGGTCGCCAGCGTTTTCCCGCGCTTTTTGTTTTTTACTTCGAGCTCTCATTGGCTAATGCTGATGTCAAACTTTCTTCTGATTGGTAGTTGTAATTACTTTGGTTTTGTTTCACTGACAGTTAATGGCAAACAGCTCTACTAGTGCTGACAGATATGCAGCCTGAGAAGTACAAGTTCTTTCGCTCCTCAGATATTCTGCATTACTCATTATAACATTAACATTATAAACATTTTCTGGCTTTCTAAATCCACAGTTTCTCAGAATCAAGGGGACGTGACTGTTTAGTTGGAATTGGACTCTCTTATTGGTATGGGCCCATTACAGACCTTATCTAGCAAACCAGATTCACAACTCATCAATGCCCTTACCCAGACATCAGCCTTGGAGCTGTATGGCATATCCTGGCATAATTCAGGGCTCAAATAACAAGGAGTACCACAACAAGTTTGTGCCATGTCAAAAGTGTTCTCCATCATTCGCGCAATTCCAAAGTCACCTACGGAAATAAAAAGAAGAAAACACAGGTGAGAGAAGTGCCTATCTGCCTCTGTCTCCATCTATTCGTACTGGCGTCCACCTCTAGCCTATCTGTCTGTCTGTCTGTTGTCTGTCTGTCTGTCACCTAGCTGTCTGTCACCTAGCTGTCTGTCACCTAGCTGTCTGTCGGGCTGTTGTCAGTCTTTCTTTACGCCTCTTGCCTATCGGTCTGTCTGTTGTCTGTCTGTCTGTCTGTTACCTAACTGTCTGTCGGGCTGTTGTCAGTCTGTCTATGCGCCTCTTGCCTATCGGTCTGTCTGTTGTCTGTCTGTCTGTNCGTTAGATGTTCGTTCGTTCGGTAGATGTTCATTTTTCGTCGGTCCGTTCATTCACTCAGCAGAGAGCCTATGGATTAGGAGTAGAGTGGAGTTCGCTTTGAAGAGAGAAGGGGGAGAGGGTGGTAAAAGGATGGCAAAAGAAGAGAGAAGGGGGAGAGGGTGGTAAAAGGATGGCAAAAGAAGAGAGAAGGGGGAGAGGGTGGTAAAAGGATGGCAAAAGAAGAGAGAAGGGGGAGAGGGTGGTAAAAGGATGGCAAAAGAAGAGAGAAGGGGGAGAGGGTGGTAAAAGGATGGCAAAAGAAGAGAGAAGGGGGAGAGGGTGGTAAAAGGATGGCAAAAGAAGAGAGAAGGGGGAGAGGGTGGTAAAAGGATGGCAAAAGAAGAGAGAAGGGGGAGAGGGTGGTAAAAGGATGGCAAAAGAAGAGAGAAGGGGGAGAGGGTGGTAAAAGGATGGCAAAAGAAGAGAGAAGGGGGAGAGGGTGGTAAAAGGATGGCAAAAGAAGAGAGAAGGGGGAGAGGGTGGTAAAAGGATGGCAAAAGAAGAGAGAAGGGGGAGAGGGTGGTAAAAGGATGGCAAAAGAAGAGAGAAGGGGGAGAGGGTGGTAAAAGGATGGCAAAAGAAGAGAGAAGGGGGAGAGGGTGGTAAAAGGATGGCAAAAGAAGAGAGAAGGGGGAGAGGGTGGTAAAAGGATGGCAAAAGAAGAGAGAAGGGGGAGAGGGTGGTAAAAGGATGGCAAAAGAAGAGAGAAGGGGGAGAGGGTGGTAAAAGGATGGCAAAAGAAGAGAGAAGGGGGAGAGGGTGGTAAAAGGATGGCAAAAGAAGAGAGAAGGGCGGGAGAAGAGTAGCACTTCCTTATTTTACCCAAAAGAGCATAGCCTTCTGGGTCTTGAGCCATTTAGTGTCTTGAACATTGCATCTTGTTCGGAATGGGCACCTTAGACAGGGTGTGAACTCAGCAAGTGCGGCCTTAATGCGTGGTACAAACATAGACTCCTCCTCGGGTGTCCAACGAACTCATGAGAAACAAGTGCGAAGTACGGCACCCTCTGGTTTTCAACAGAGAGACGTCTAGGTCCCTCTGTCTTACCATGACCTGTAAGGCCCCACGTGTGTGCATTTGTTTCTTGGTTCTTTCATTTCTATTTTGCATACTTACTTTGAAAGTATAAAGTATCTGCCATTACTTCAAAATTTACCTGTGAAGTACTTTCTTGGAGTGAATATGTTGCAGAGCCATAGTCATTTGAATAAACCACTGTTAAGAAAAATAAGCAAAGCAGAACAAATTTAAGTATCCTAAAATAGCTTGAAAAAGAAAGTAAAAATGAATATAAGAGGGATCTTGGCAGCAATGAACAGAAGTAGTGAAAACAAGGCCTACGAAACAAATCAGGCCTGTACAGGAGGTTGGTTGGTAATAAACTCATGAAGTGATGCGTATTTAAATGACTGTGAAAATAGGAAACATTATGTGACCTGCAGATTAGAAAATGAACATAGGAGCGATTTTCTCAGTAATGATTTAAACTACTAAGCAGCAGTGAAGTGCGGCCTGATTGATTTTCATATATTCACATTCATTTATTCCTCAATTCACGGGCTTATTAAGAACCAAAAAAATGAAAGAGTGCAAAAAAAAAAAAACCAACCATCACACCCATATCACATGATTTGTCATTCAGTCTATAAAATAAATAAAACATTTTTTCCCTAAGTGTTTATCTACACGAACTTTAACGACTGCTGTGGCTACATGTTAACTTACCTGCATTATTTGCTCCTCTGAAAATGGAGAATTTTTCTAAAAAAAGATTCAAACATAAAATTAAATGATGTACGGGTTCATAGAGGAAAAACATAATAATGATAATTGACAGTTGCCTTTTGAACACAACAAAATGGCTGTGGGTAAAAAAGATACAGATCAAACTGTCTGAAATACTTTGGTATTTTGTACGACTGTAGAAAAAGGATAAATACAATACTCAAGTCAGACACCAAGATAGGTAACATATAATTATATATTGATTTACTTAACAAATTATGCGGGAATATGCAGAGAATGTCCGATTATGCAGGTCCGCACCAGCGCATAATGCTAGAATCCCTGCATACTATAATCTTAACTAGGGCTGTCATTAAGTTTTGAAGCAGCCATTTCTTTGGGGGTATCACCCATGGCAGTGTCTGATATTAGCGCAGCATGTTAGCAATGGGCATCTTAATCCCTAACAATTGGAGTGAGCTCAGTGTTACAAGTTACTATTACAGCCCTTACTGACACTGTTATTACCCTTGAAACCCTAACATCAATTGCATATTCTCCATACTGTTCTGTATACATTCCCCAAGGTACTGACAAGGAGAATTTGTTTGACAATCAGGAGATTCCTATTAATTAGCAATCATTTCTGTTATTCTCAGGACCTTTACGGTTGATTCAAGGGTGATACAGTAAGAGGAAATCAGATATTGTAATTGTATTTGAGAATTAGTTATAGCATAGTTTAATTTTAAATGGACAAACCTCTCTAGCATTGACTATCTGATCTTGGAGAGTTCCCCCATCGCAAAAATCCTGCAAGACAAAGCATACACAACATGGAAAATAAAAAGACACCAATATTTCAATCAGGGGAAAAATTCTTATGTTGGCCGTCAATGATATCAAACTTCCAAACAACGTAAGTTACCAAAAAAATTCAAATTGTGAAAATAATGACACTGATCAAGGCTGTGCTCTAAGGCAAATTGAATGGAGCCCAGTGCTTTGAAACCATGAAATCCAGGGTGCCCAGCATATGCTTTGTATGAAAACATTAAAATTCCTGAGTTGCCCAAGAGCAAAAGTAAGGTGCCAGAGGCCACCAGGCACTGCTAGACCACAGCCTTGCTGACAATGATGTAATGCTGACAATGATGTAATGCTGACAATGATGTAATGCTGACAATGATATCCTAGCCCTGTTTACACACCAGGTTCAGTTTACATCTTCCTCATACTGTTCTCTATATACATATTCCTAATGAGCTGACCAAGGAGAACTTGTTACACAATCATGAGATTCATTTAATTGATGATAATTTCCTTGGTTTATTCTTGTAAATATTTATTGGTATTAATTTGAGGTGAATCTTATTTTTAGGAGAAATGAGATGCTAGGTACACTTAGAGGTTAAATTAATGAAAGTGGTGAAATATTCACCTGTACAATACAAAGTAGCTCCTCTGATGAATCAAAGAAATATTCTTGTAATGAAACAACATGAGGATGTTTTAAATGGGCTAAAATGCTGTAAAACAAAAATAAAAAAATAAGTACATTTATGGTGCACTTGATTATGGCAAAAATTGTGACTATTTTCACTAGAAGATCTCATAATTATTTTTCTCCACATTAATCAGTATGTTACAGTACACACTACGGAATCGCAACCATTGAAAAGCGTCGCCCAGGTAAAGTGGAGTATCCATGATGCTTTGCAGGAGGAATGAGGTTGCAAAAGCTCACCGCCAGCTTCGGTCTCTTAAGATCTGAATTGATGAATTCCCAAACGGGAGTTGTAAAATTTCGCTTTGCGTCCGTTCAGAGACAATGGAGAGACAATGGAAGCAATTAGTATTGTTTGAAGGTGATGAAACGAAGTGTTGTTATGGTAAAGCTGAGTTGGAACTGAGCGTGTACATATGTGGAGCAGGAATTTACAACGTATACTTAAGCTTTTCGAAAAGTAAATAGACTTTCCCGACGTGTTAATTAAGTGAAACTGACAGCAATAACGGGCCAAAAAGGAATCTGTAATGTTATTTTGCTTTCATGGCGAAACTGATGGTCGAACCTCGTAAATCTGCCGCATTTCTGTCTTAATGTATTTATTCGTCTATGAGCCGAACTCAGCTATAGGCCGAGACCCTAAACTTCGGTCTGTTTTAATTGGGTTCTTAAAACATGTGAACTGAAAATACTTGGCTATAAGCTGAGACCATATTCAGAGAATTCCATTCTCGAAAAAACTGAAATGAACGCAGATCTGAAGTTTCGAAACAGAAAAGTGTTTCAGTGCAGTATTGCTGTCGAAAAACAATTCTGAGATAACCAGAGAGTACGTCATCAGTAAGTCTATGGTCCAAGATTTTGGTAAAGTTTTATGAAAAAATCGCTCGGCTTGAATAAATAATTTTACATGTGATCGATTTTTAAACAATATCGCCTAATCAAGATTACAGCTATTCTTCTTCGATGAATAGCGCTATGTTTCGGTTGTCTGAGCAAGAAACAATACTTGCGAACACCGTGTACACGAGGGATTACATGAGTGACAGTCAGATTGACAGGCCTGCATGAAGTTACGCATGCTCTCTTTCTCTTTACTAGCTTATTTGCATTGTTCTGTGCGACGTTTTTCAATGGGTGCAATTCCGTAATGTCTGCCAAAACTAAAGGCCGAGGCACAAAACAACGGCACAAGGTTTGATAATTCATAATATCGTGCAAAAACTAAATTCAATAATTGTCTGAAGTTATGTTCTTTTTAACACTGCAAAAGAAGACATTTCCCTCTGAGTTTGCAGAGGTTTAAGAACACTACACAGACAAGGGGTTTGGAAACTAGGCAGACTTTGAATGCAACATAACCCAATACTGGGTATATCATGTCAACTTCCCATGCTATTGTATAGTTACTGTATGCTCTTGACCAATCAGAGTCTTTGTAGTAAGTCTAATGTATTATAGTAATAATCAGCAGATAAAAATAACTTGCACAAGTGAATGTCCGTACCTTGCTTCCTTTAACACAGCTTCTTTTGTTCTGTTCTTTTTATTTGGATCTAAAGTAATCTCTTTAATAGCAACCTGCCTAAGGAAAACAAATCAGCCAATCTATATAGACATATATATACATATATATATGTATATATATATATATATATATATATATATATATATATTTATTAAAAACTGGATCATTAGACAATGCAATTCAAGACTTTTTATTAGCCATTATGGTATATGAG